CTAAAGCACAAGATTGTGGCAAGGCTCAAAGGTGGGGGTGTCTGGAGAGGGCTTTATAAACTTTAAAGGATGCTACCAAGACAATCATTATTATGACAGCATTATGATATCATGATAACATTATTCTAGCATCATCATCATTATGATGGCATCATCATGTCACATTAACCTATGATTTTTAAACCTGTATCAAGTGATTTCACCAAAATGGCATTCATAGGGCATATTCACCACTGGTAGAGTTATTGATGATGGCGAAAGTCTGGGCAGAATACAGGTGGCCAGGTTCAAAGACCCTAACAGACTGGTACAAGTGAATGACAGTCATTCAGCAAAAGAACTATGATATAATGAAAAGGGAAGTGGATTTAGATACAGAAGACTTCAAGTTCAAACGCTGACTCTGACATTTAATAACTGTGTGACTTAGGGCAAGTTATTTAACTGTTTTGAGTCTCTACTTCAATATAATAGTTATATATATTATTCCATAATAATGTAATTCAATATAATAAATAATAGCATTGATGTTGCACTTTAAGATTTGTACGGCATTCTATATATTATTTAATTTGCTCCTTACAATAACCCTGTGATGTAGGTGCTATTATTATCCCCATTTTACAGATGGGAAAACTGAGGTATGGTGTGGTTAAATTATTTTCCAGAGTCATTCAGCTTTTAAGTATCCGAGGCAGGTCTTTTAATTCAAGTCTTCCTGACTCCAATCCAACACTTTATCCACTGTACCACTTAGCTGCCTAAGTGACTAGGTAATACTTCAGTGGGATTCTTGTGATGAAAGTGTTTTGTAAATGTTGAAGTGTTATGGAAATGAGAGGGATCCCCTCATCAAACTTAGAGCTCCAGGAAAGCAGGTAATCAGTCTTTTGTAGCCTCTGATAGCTGGCAGCACAGGGCTAACCTGCCATATCATCTCCCGACACTGCCCCTGTGTCTCATGGGGTACACATGGCTTCATAGGTTAATAACCCTAGGACCCCTCACCAGTACTTAGAGAAGCAGGTAGAGTGAACACAGTGCAGTAGAAAGAATATTGTTCTCGGTGTCCGGAGATCTGGATTTGAGGCATAGCCACGATTGATACTTGCTGTAAAAAAAATACCCATAATGGCTCCCCATCACCTGTCACAGAAATGAAAAGAGGACTGGGCTGTGCTTCAGGGGAAATTCTCATCCTAGTTCTATCAGGAAATCGCTATGATGGGAGACACTTTCTTTGAGTCTGTTTCTTTTATCTGTAAAATGAAGGGGTTGGGGTATTACAAGGCTCCTTCTAACTCTAAATCCCATGATCCTAAGTCAATAATAACAACACCTATTTCTGCATTGCTTTATAGTTTAAAAAAAAAACACCTTCCAGATAATAATTCCATGAAGTAGGTAATAATTTCATGTCTCTCTGGGTCTGTTTCCTCACCTATAAAGTGGAGATAATACTTTCACCACATACCTAGAATCATATGTTTAGGGTTAGAATATATTTCCTTATTTTATAGATATGTAACTGGGAGGGGAAGTGACTTACTCAAAAGCATACAGCTATTAAATACTTGAGCTAGAACTCGAATACCTCTTTCAACTACGCTATGTTATCCCACAGGTCTATCATTTGCAATAGCTCTTATTTTATCATGCTTTGCAGTTAAAATTCATCTTCCCATTCACTGCTTCATTATATGTTCAACATAGCTTTCTTCCCATTTTATAGATGAGGGAGTTGAGGCTCATATTTGGGCAAATGACTTTCCCTAAGTAATTAAATACGGTACCTCCAGATCTTCTGACTCTAACTCTAACAGTCTTTCCATTTTCAAAACCCACCTGATTCTCTACCAGTCAATCAATAAAAGCCACATAAAGTCTCTCCACTTCTAACTTTCTCCTCTGTTCTCTGTCCTCTTTCCTGATCCTCCTCCTGCCTCCTTCCTCAAGGGGCACTTTGGAGAAACAGAAAGGGCAGGCATCTAGGAAACTGCCCTTCCAGTTGAATTTGGGCTGAGCCTGCCTATTCCAAATGAATAATTCATTCGAGATTATTCATGAAATCTTAATATATTCTAATTAATTTTAGATAAATGCATGGGCAGCCCAGTCACAGCAGGTTATTAAGAGAAGCCAGAGATTTAAGGAAGGTCTCCCTCCCCCCTTAAGAGCATGACTTCTGCCCTTTAGGGTTGCAACTGAGTGGTTCCAAAATTTCATGTTTTAAGGACTTTCCTGATGATTCCTAGTTACCTTCATGGAGTAGGAAGAGCACCGGCATTGAAGTGAGTAGACCTGGATTTGAATTCCAGCTCTTCCACTTACTGACTGTGACTTGAGGCAGATCCTTGAACCTTTTTCAAACCTGTTTCCTTATCTATAAAAATAGGGATTGGGCAGCTAGGTGGCGCAATGGACTCATCTTCCTGAATTCAGATCCAGCCTCAGACACTTACTAGCTGGGTGACCCTGGGCAAGTCACTTTACCCTGTTTACCTCAGTTTCCTCATCTGTAAAACAAACTGGAAAAAGAAATGTCAAACCACTCCAGTATCTTTTCCAAGAAAACCCCAAATGAGGTTATGAAGAGTGGGACATAATTGAAACTACTGAACAATTTTTAGCAAGTAACTTTGTCTTTCAGAGTCTTAGTTTCCTCACTTACAAAATTTTGGGGTTGAAAGGTGGGATCTTTAAGGTCCTTTCCAGATCCAAGTTCCTAAGAACCTATTATCCTATAAATCCTATAGAAATGTTAACTCCTATTATTGTTCATTTTAACTTCTCTTTCCATCCCAGCCCCACCTCCATCTGCTTAGTGAGTAGTTGAGATTACAGGAAAGACTTGTGGAATAAACAGATTTCCCAAGGTTCTTCTCTGAATGTAAAAGTGCTAACAGAATAGTTCAGTAATGGCACACCTAGAACTGTTCATGCTTTGCTTGGAAGAAGGCTTTCACCTACATTCTATTCAATTCAGAAAACATTTAAGTGCCTAGTGTTTTCCAGTGCAGGGCACCATGCTTCTGGGGATAAATAGATGAAAAAACAGCTGCCAACCGGAAGGAGTCCACCTCTTCTCATGTCATCCTCTCAACAGTCCTTTGAGGAAGACAAGCAATCAGGGATTATGCTTCCCTTTTCACTGATGCACAAACTGAGGCTTTGAGAGGGACTGTGGACTCTTGTCCATTAAGTGATAGAGCTAAGACTGAAACTGTTTGGGTCTCCTGCCCCCCAGTCCAGGGGTCTTTGCATTTTATCATCTTATTTGATCCTCATAATTGTTCTGGTGGAACAAGGATGGTTACTTTGATCTTAGAAGTAGTGAAACTGAACACCGAAAGTGATTTGCCAAAGGTCACACAAAAAATTAGTGGCAGAGTTGGTACTCTATGCCAGTGTTCTTTCTTTTGTCTCATGCTACCTTCTCAGAGATTATGCTGATTTACCCGTCCTGACCTTTACATTCAACAGACCTAAGTTTCCTCAGTATACAGAACACTGGACTTGATCCTGAAGGATGCGACTAAGCAGGCACTACAAACAGGCTTTAAGGAGCTTATTCTCTAACAGGAAAGATAAGACTGCTATTAAGACTGCTGGCTTCTGCTGCTGAGCTTTGGGTAGAATTCAGCCTCATCCTCTCAGAGTGGAAACCTTTAAGTCTCTGTCCCCTATGTCTTCAGGAAGAAGTGAAAGAGTGGGAGATCAAGGAATATGACAAACAGGGATGGTGTTACTTATTGGCAGAGTGTGAATGATTGTGGGAAGGCCACACCCTAAAGACCTCTTTAAAATACCTCCTCACTGTTCACTGGGGACAAAGCTCCCTTATATCCCAGCTTTGTGATTTACTTATTCTGTGATTTGGGTCAAGTTACTTCTCTCTCTGGGCTTCAGTCTCCACATCCTTAAAATGGTTAAGGAGTGGAGTTCTGGGATAAAGAAAGGATTAGATTATTCTTTTCAGTCACAACATTCTCTGATTCAAGTGAGAAGTCTTGGCACAGTTGAAATAGCATTTTGGTAGGTAGGCAGCAGGTGATTTGGTTGGGTTAGAATTCTGCTGGTGCCACTGAGCTGCTGTGTGAACTGAAGGAAGTCATTTCCCCCTCCTACTTTGGGTACCAGTTTCCTCAGCTGTAAAATGAGGAGGCTGAGATCAATCAATCAAGTCATTTATTAAATGCTTACTATGTGCCATACGTGATAGGCAGTCCAAAAACCAGGAAGAACTCGGTTCAAATTCAGCCTATGACACATACTGGCTGTGTAACTCTGAAAGTAGCAGAAAGGTGCCTACCTGCTTCGGCAGAGGCAATTTCCTTATCCGGCAGCTCCCTATACTAGGGAAATTACAGGTCCAGTCCCTGTATCTAGTCTTACACCTCTTTGCCTGGGTTATGCAAAGACAAAAATTAAACAGTGAAGGTTCCTTCTACTTCTAACAATTTATGGCTATGGTTTTAAGATTCTAAGCCCCACTTCTAGTGTTAAAATTGTGTGATTCTAGGTCAAGGTTTCCCTTTTCTCCAGTGACTGACAGTGATCTGGGAAGGTAGGGAAGGAAGGAGGCAGGAGTGGGAGAGGACTGAGGAATAGACCCTGAGGCTCTGGGATTCTAAAGCCCTTCGAGCAGTGGCCCCTTCCCCAGGTAATAACCTAGTTTCTGAAGAGTTAATAACCACACACACCGCCCCCACATCACACCACACCACCCTCCCTCGAAGAACAGAACACACTAGAGCTGGGAAAGAGCGGCTGCTAAAGGGTTAATGGGGCGCAGCTTCTCAGTTGACTACAATCCGGAGCCTCCACTCCCATTTCGGGGCCTATTACAAGCGCATGGATGGTAAGGAAGGGGTTAACCGTTAAACAGAGCCTGGCCGCTCTTGGGGCGAGGTCTGAAAAGAGGACTCAGGAGCACTCGAAGAAGCAGATTCCCGTCCAGAGCTTCTGTGGGTGCATTTAGCCTAAGCTCCTGGCATCCCTCTCTGTTGCTGGGTGTTTCGCTGTTCCATATGCCTCTGCCTCTTGCTTTTTCCGTGTCCCTCTGTGTGTATCCCCGGCTCTTCTGTGGATGTCTCTGTCTTTCTGTGTGTGTGTCAGTCACTTTTTGTGTCTTTCTCCCTTTGTCTTCGGGTGCACATCTCCCTTTCTGTCTCTGTCCTATCTCTGTCTCGCCCAGTGAGTCTCTGCCTATCTGTGCGCCTCCCTCCATCTCTGCGCGGTTGTGTGTTTCTGCCTCCGTGTCTCTTCGCCTGTCTCTGGGTGCGTGTGTGTATGTGTGAGTGTATGAGTGTGTGAGTGAGTGTATGTGTGTGTGTGTGTGTGTCCGTGTATGCTTTTCTGTGCCGGTGTATGCGCCTTGCCTCTGTTATGTGACTGTCTCATTAGTCACACCCTTGCCTCGAAATTGCCCCCACCCTCCCCCCATGGCGAACTGAACCTCCAGTTTCCTTTAGAATACAATAACGTCCCTCCACCTGGCCAGCGGGGAGCTTGGGCTAGGGGCAGCGGACAGTTCTCCCCGTCCCGGGCGGCCCAAGCCTTTCAACTTTTTGTCTGGGAGCCAATCAGCGCGGTCACCTGTTACTTGCTCTGGCCGGGCCCTCCTGGGCGCTCCCACTGAGTCATTCGGTAGCGCGGGGCTCTGGAGGGGAGGCGGGCGGGCGGGCTAAGCGAGCAAGTGAGCGCCTGCAGCCTCCTCCTTCCTCCCAGCCTCCCTCCCTGGCTTCCCCCGGCCGCAGAGCCGCGCGCGGGGCGGTGGCTGCTTCTCGGGATGCGGCCGCTGAGCCGCCGGGCTTCCCAAGCGCGCCGGGCACACCTGCTCGGGAGTCCAGCGCCCGGGCTGAGCCCGTGCCGTGAGCCGTGGGCTGAGCCCTAGCCTTCCTCCTCTTGAAGCTCTTGTTTGGTTTCTCCCTCCTAGGCCTCTGCCGCAGACATGGAGAAAATCAGGTAAGCTGCACAGCCTTCTTGTCATTCCAGATTTATTTGGAAAATACGGTGTTCCTGGGCACCCGAGGTGGGCAAAGGGTAAGGACTGGGGAGAGGGAAGGGGCAGTGCATTTACCTAGGGGCGCGGGCCAATGCCCCGGGAATGTTGGAGGGGGAGGGAGTGACAGAGAACCTTCGGGGTCTCAGAAGACAATAGCCAATTTCCCTGGTGCTATTACTGAGTATGGCTTTTGCACACTCCGCTGGGCGGGTCTACACAGCCCGTGGTGGCGGATGTGGAACCTAGCCTCCCTCCCCAGCTTCTGACTTCCCAGGAGGTAGCTTTAAGAGACCCGAAGGAGCCCATAGTTGCTTGAGGCCCTAGGATTTTGGAACATTCAAGAACTGGAGAGGGAGTCGTTTCGGCCAGGCAAGGGCAGCATGTCGCCCGCGCGGAATTACTGTCAGCCTAGGAGCTCTTACGAGCTCCAGCTCTCTGGTTTTATCAAATCCTGTAATAGCTGGTTGGATCTGCCAGCCCAGGTTTTGCATAAAGCAAAGTTGCTGCTGTCTTGGTGGGCGTCTGAGTTTTTGTGGTCTGATGCCCAAATGTGAGATCCCCTTCCATTCGCTCGGTGCTCCATCCAGAGCTGTTTCCTTTATCATTCTGCCGTTTCTGCCTCCTTGATTCCAAACAGCCAGCCCTCCATCACTCCTTTCTATCCCAGGAATGCACTATCTTCAACTCCCCCATTTAAATCTTTCTCTTCCACCAAGACCCAGCTTAGGTGCAGTCTGGCCCTTGAAGCCTCCCTGATACCTGCCACCCAATATCCCAGGTGAAAGTGATTTTTTCCTCCTAAAGTTTTCTTGAATAACTTTGTATGCATCTGTCCTTTGCCCCTCACATTTCAGCGTGCCTACATCACCTCCACACACATCAGCAGATTGTGAGCTTGAGAGCATTGATTGTGTCCTTTCCCCATTTTTGTATCCCCTATGCTTTCCTCATGTAGATACTCAATAACTGTTCTACTTAAATTGTTCTGGGGAACTTAATTCTGTGAGGCTTTTAAAGAAGTGTCTAAGAAAATATCTAGTCCAGGGGTTGGGAGCCCATTCAGAGTACTCCTGGTTAAACCCAGCCCTTGAACGCATAGCTCACAACTAACTATAATATACACTTTGCTCATTTTCTAGTCCTAGGATCAGGCTAATTTAAATATTCGTGGTTCCCCTTTCCATCCTCCCCACACTCCTTCCAATAGAAGCCTCCTAGAGTAAGTGTTTGGAGGTTGTAAGGAAATTCCAACAATGAGCAGGGGCTGTTTGGGTCCCAAGGTGGTCTCCCTCCCTTGAGCAGGATCAAGGATATATATATATATATATATATATATATATATATATTCATTCAACATATATTTATTAATGTTTGCTTCATACCTGGCTCTGTGCTCTGTTCAAGAGATACTAAATTAGTTTAAACACAGGCCTTAGAATCTTAAAGCCATAGAATGTCAGAGCCATAGAATGTCCACTTACAAGACCACAGAAAACTGGAACTGGAAGGAACCTTGGAGACCCAGTACAAGTCTCTTCTTTTATAGATGAGTGAACATATTCAGAAAGGTTGCCCAAGGTCACATGCCCTGCAAATACCATACTTTGTACTTGAACCCACATTGCCCAACTTTCAACTGCTCTGGAGAAGCATACCTAAAGACATGTATACAGATAACTATGACAGAAGGGAGAATAAGGCACAAGAGATATCCAGGCAAAGGGCTGTGGGCAATTTGCGAAGAAAGACATACCTTTCAACTTGCCGTTCTGAGAAGACTTCATGGAAGTAGTAATCTCAGGATCATACTTGTCCCCAATCTGAGACAAATTCCCATGAAACCATTGGAGTCGGGAGAAGGGGCATTATTCCTCTAATTTTACATGGTCCCAGAGTATTTCTGGGACAAAATTCCTTTGCATAGCTATCATCTGGTCTAACTTCCTCATTTTGTAGGTAAGGAAACTGAGAGGAAGGATTTATTAAGTACTTAATATGTGCCAGGCATTGCGATGGGATGTTTTTAGAATGAAGCTCTCTCAACCATCAGTTGTTAAAAATTCCATTGTGCCAGCAGGAGTGGGGATATGCCTTCTTGCTCTCAGAAATGTCCTTACTGTGCAGGACTTCTTCCTGCGGCTTTTCCCCGCACCCCCAGATGCTTCTAAAGTCACGAGGAGGTTATCAGAGACAGCACAATGCAGCAGCAAGAAAACTGGACTTGAAATCAGAAGGACTTGGTTGACATCTTGGTTTTAACTCTTATTAGGGGCCGCTAGGTGTCTCAGTGGATAGAGCATATAACCTAGAGTCAGGAAGACTTGAGTTAAAATTTGGCCTCAGACACTCATTAGCTGTATGACCTTGGACAGTCTCTTAATCTCTGTTTGCCTCAGTCTCTTTAATTGTAAAATGGGAATAATAATAGCACCGACCTCCCAGAGTTGTTGTGAGGATCAAATGAGATAATAATTGTAAGGCGCTTAGCCCAGTGCCTGGCCCATAGTAAGTGCTATATAAATGGTAACTATTCTTACTATATCTCTATGAACTTAAGCAATCACTTCAACTTTCTGGGGTTTTGTTTCCTCATTTATAAAATGGAGATAATAATCCTTGTGCTTAAAGGACTATGAGAAAAGCAACTTATAAACCTCGAAATGTTGCAGAACTATGTTACATAGGGAATTATTCATTGAATCAAGACTTAAAGGGCTTGGACATGTGGCCTTTGTAGAATTTCCCACGGAGCAGGGGTGACAGGAAGCAGCAGGGCTGTTGAAAGAGGTCGCACATAGAGACCTAGCTGAAGGACTCCTGGATTTTCTGCCTATAACCTTGTTCTACTTGTGGCCAGAGGTGCCCCAAACAGCCTAGAGACTCCAGAAGATCAGCTCAGAGATCCAGCAGAGACATTTCTTGCCTCTTTCATTCCTTCTTGAGGAGTGGACTCAACCAATAAGCAGTTAAGCGTAAAGGGTACTTGAGGCTATGAGACCTTGAAAGGTATTGAAGCAAAGCACACAAATTTATTTAGAAACCTTGGCCCAGAGAGGAACACCACACATGCATTCTTGGTTCCCTCTCTCCCAGGAAGTCTAAACTGTCTCTGGGGAACTGGAGGAGATTAAAAGAGGGCTTAGGTGACTTTCCCAAGGTCACAAAATCACAGAGCAAAGCTGAGAGTCAAACCTAGTTCCTCTGACTCAAAATCCAGGACTCTTTTCACTGCAGAAAGGCAGAGAATAAGCACATGGACACACACACACACACACACACACACACACACACATACACATATACAATGCACATACACACATATACATATATACACACATACACATATACAGTGCACACACGTACACACATATGTATATCATGCCTACTATGTGGTAGTCACTATGCTAAGTGCTTTTTACAAATATTATCTTATTCATTTGATCCTTACGACAACCCTGGGAGGTAGGTGCTATTATTATCTCCATTTTACAATTGAGGAAACTGAGAAAGACAGAGGTTGTGACTTGCCCAGGGCCACATACCAAGCCAGGGTCTGAGGTCACATTTGAACTCAGGTCTTCCCAAATCTAGGCCCAGCACTCCATCTACTGTACTACCGGCTGCCTCTACCAATGCTACCAGCTACCACTACAGCATCGAGCCAAGGCCAGACAGGTGGCAAAGGTCAGAACCAGGCTTCAAATCCAAGTCCTCCAATTCAAAAGCCTGTTCTCTTTCCATTCTGCTAAGTGGTCTCACTTCTAATACTCTGAGTATAGTAGCATAAGCAAGAGAAACCTCGATATTCATGGTTCATAGGCAAATATTTCCAGAAATTTAAGTGACCACTAACCCTTTTTGCATTCCACAAAGCCAACTAGATACATCATGGGTGGGGGTCTACATGAGGGTTGAATTGTTTTGATCCTCCACCTCTTCCCTTGCTGAATTTATCTTCTGCTCTGAAGCTCTCTTGCCCTCTATGTCTGCTTAAATAACTCTTACAACTCTCAAATATTTGTAGATATCCCTGTATCTATTTGCTTATTTCTTAGCCAGGCTGTGAGCTGTGTCAGTGCCATTAATCTTCCCCAAATCAATCCTTTCATTCCTTTTAATCTTCCCCGTCCCTCCCAACCCCTCCCCATTGCCCCTTTGCCAGTTTTCTACTGAATTCTCTGAGATGCAGCAGCAGACTCCTGCCACTTATTCCAAACCACAGGCTCTTATCTAGTGCCTGGTTCACCTGCTAGTACAAAGACACATTCATAAACTATCAGTGAGAGGCGGCATGGATAGGGCAGTGGGTTCAGAAAGAGGCGAGTTCTATTCCTGGCTCAGACACTTACTAGCTGGATGGCCCTGAGCAAGTCTCTTAACCTCCCTGTTCCTTCAAATAATAGGTCCCAGCTCAAGCCTCATTGGCTCATTGTTTGGTTTTGATGGCTCAGAGTGAGCGTAAATAACAATTATTTCTGTTCTGGCCCAGAAACTCCGAGGGTCTTCCCCTCCCTGACTGATTCTGTTGTGAAGGCAAACTAGGTCATCTTTTGCCTCAATTCTTACCCAGTCTTTGATTACTGAATGGGCTTTGTCTCAGACAAAGTGAGACCTGGGAAAGACCTTAGCTTAAAAAGGCCAAGGTCTCCCACTGCATCCTGAATCATCGCCAGTCATCCTGACCTATGTCTTGCCACTGGACTCTGAGTGACTCTGGAGGAGTGAAGCTGATGACTTTGCACAGCCCTGCCTCACTTAAATCCAGTTCACTTTCAAGTCAAAACATCACCCTCCTGATGTCATTGGTCCTCTTCGAGAATGAAAGACTGAAGGATGAACATCTTTCATGATGGCATTGGGTGGTTGTACTACCTAAGGTTGCCTTCAACTCTCAATCTATGATGCTATAAAAATGTTAGAACTGGAGAAAACTCTGAGTACATTGAATTATGGAGCTGAA